CAACAAAGCACTCGCCTACAATGCGCCAAGTTTGCCGTCCACCGACCAAAAGAGTCTTGCGGATCACAACCGGTCGATTATGTCCAATCAAGACAGCGACTATATCACCAGGCCTCATTGCCATGGGCCCAAGACCAATAAAACCGCGCTCGGACGTAAGAAGGAGCCGCCGTCCTTTGACCTTAGCAGCCATGGAACTCATGGCGGCATAAACGAGATCCGGCTCATGGGCCGTACCACGGTCTCCGGGCGGGCTGGCGCTGCAGATATTGTTGGTGCAGCTGAAATACTCGCCCAGTGTCGTCTCACCAATGCGCAAGTCTTTGCTGCTGTTGATGAAATCCCAGTTCCAATACTCGATGGACGTCTTCCAGTCTTGCTGGGGTATTTCGGTAAGTAGACAACTCGCGTCAATAACCTTCCCATGCATATCCGTGTTCCCAGTCAGTATCCTGTACAATGCTAGTTCGATCTCGCTTTTCGATGGATAGCTGGTTTGCGATGGTGCTTGCACCACACCTCGTTGGAAGGTAGGTTGGAGATATACACTCTCAATACCATCAGGAAGTTCGACATCGTACGGCATTGTCGTCAACAACGAATCGCCTTCTTTCACCTCTTTTGTGACTATTTTTCGCTCTTGTAACGATTGTATCGCTCCGAGGCCAACAATAACATCCACCAAAACCCCCTGAAACACGATTCCAGCGATAGAAGTACTTGTTCCAGTGACTTGAAACGACTCCAATCTAGGCAAAGGAACTCCCTGCTCCAATCCGCTGGCATGCCACGGTCCCAGAAAAGGATGTGTCTTCCTCCATTCGGGTATTGCAAGATTTGGCACCCACGAAGGGAGCATAAGCTCGTCTACAAAGCCATCTAGGAGCGGCAAGAAATCTAAAGATGCACTCAGGCCATTATACGCATACTTTTTAATTTTGTAGGTCTCCGTAATTATTCCGTGTTGGCTGAATGTAGTGTCCTCTGTCCATACTGCGACTTCATCGCTATGAGCAGAGGCAAGCTCTTTGGACACCTTGCCACTGAGTATCAAATGCCGAGCGAATGCGATGTATAGATCCTGCAGGGTTGTATTGGCTGCGACATTCAAGCCATCGGTTCGCCGGAACGGTGGGATGTACATCATCCCTAGAACTCGATCTCCGGGCCGGTAACATTGAGCCTGTGACGCCACTGACAGGAGTTGAACCAATCCTGTGCCTTGAATGTTCGGCAGATCCTCTGGACCAGGTTTTGAGGTATGAGCGAGAAGTCGTGGGTCAACAAAGGGTATAGCCTTTCTGTTTGCATGGATGCTAAGCTCAGCGATTCCAGCGACGTGCTCAGCCGCTCGATCAGTGAGGCGAGGCATCTTCAACCGTTTCTCCTTCGCAAAATCTTGAATTCTGTGGGCAAGAAAATCTGAGACAGCTGCTATGATCAGTGCACCGTCTCGTATGTGTCTCCATTGAGTAAAGCGGTCCCCGCACACCACCACAGTATTTTCGGTACCCATGACGAGCTCTTGAATGATCCATAGTCGTTTCCAATAAGGGTTATCGAAGAAATGGAAGATTGAAAGCCATCCATACTCATCGATATCAATGTAGTCGAAATCATTCCTGATGTTTGATGTTACCATCCGATGGCTTTGTCTGAGTTGCATGTTTGCGTTTTCACGAAATTGGGCTACTTGAAGTGTATCACGGCTTTGGTCCAGGTACTCGAGGATCTCCGTTCTATAATAAGCGCTCAGCCACTGCAGGTAGCTTATGGCATGGTCGCTACAAATGGAACGATCTGGAGTTGCGTAGACTGTGGCATCATCTTTAGAGCCTGCACTGTAGTCCACTTCAGGGCCTAGCCAGACAAGAACATTCCCAGCTTGACGATAGATCTTGTCCATTCGGCCACACTGTTGTCCCCTCTCGACCTGATCGCCCTGGTTAATGCACAGCGCATCGGCCCACAGCATTAACTTTCCTGCAAATATTCCTGATTCCCTCAGCTGAGATAGGGCGGCGTGCAGATTCCGGGTCACAGGATGCCAAACACCGCTGCGGTTTGTTTCGTGGTTCTCTCCTTCGCTGTAGATGATGATATCCAAAGTATCTTTTGGATTGCCCCAACTATAGCTGAGCGCGACGAAGTCGCCCCATTCATACCTCACCTTCCAGCTCTCCGGTAGTTCTTCGGGCTTTGGAATCGGATCACCTCCCCCAACCCGCTGGCGTCCTGTCGAGATGGTGAAGTCATAGTCCTCTGGCTGGTCAAGAGGATCTATATCCCCTTCTTTGATGCGCCCGACACGAAATGCTCTCTTGAGGCGAGACAGTCCGCGAGCACGCAGATCTTTCCTCTTGGAGTTTGCATGGACATGCAGATATTCCGAGCAGACGGTTGTCTGTAGCCCTTCGAATGGGATCCTGTCTCGGCTGCTGGTAAGCTCTGGATCGCGAACGGTGTCCTTCAAGGAAACGTGTTTGAGTGTGCATCGTACTGTAGGATCCCCTTCAATCTTGGGCTCGATTACCAGGAGTCGGATATCATCTTCGGCCAAGGCTAAGTAACGGGGTGGCATATCTTGCATGTAAAGCGCCACGCGCCTGAATTGAGCAGATGGTCAACGTACAGAGAAGAACCAGAAGTACCTTGATATTACCAAATGGTGATCTATTCAGGTTGATATTCAAAACACCACCAAAGCTCAGCGTATCTTGACCAGGGAAGACTCGGCGAAACATGAGTATATGTAGACGGTACTCCTTACAATATCAACAAGGCTACGTCGGGATCTTAAAGGCGGAATCGGTTCAGCTAAGTGACACCATCCCTGAACGCTACAGCAGGTAACATCTGATTTGGATAGTTGAAAATCGATACTTGTGCTACAGGGGGACTTTTTATCACTGTTGATTGGACAGAGTGCACATTGCAGTTCTTTCAGCTCGTCTTGGCGAGTGAATCTCGACTCAGTCAAACTGCAGCCTGATACAATCTCGTATCAGGGGTCTAAAGTATCCAATAGAATGAGTATCTTTCCCGACTCGTGAGCTACATCGCCGCGGAGCTCTCATTTTATGTGATCTATCATTCGATGTACCATAAGACCTCTCGTCTCGGCTGCACCTGCCCTCCACCCCACCGCTCTCGGCTGCACTTAGCGTGAATTTTACTGCCCCTCGATGTTTGAATTTCTGCCCCACATGGAACATTTGCACTCCGCCACGACATCAACACTGTACCTTTTCACGTTTCCTCATAATGGCTGGTAAATACGAACTTCTGTGCTTAGAGAACCCTCTGTTGGACATCCAGGGTGTCGGGTGAGTTTCTTGCTTGTACTTTGCAGTTCAAACACTCGTGCTCTGCATCAATACCGCAATGGACGGAAGCTTACGGTGTATAGTGACGAGAAACTGCTGGAGAAGTATGGCTTGAAGGCTAATGATGCGATTCTTGCCGATCCTGAGAAGCATATGGGACTATATGAGGACTTGATCCAGAACTACAACGCAGTCCTGATTGCTGGTGGCGCTGCGCAAAATACTGCACGAGGCGCACAGGTACGTCACGACTTTCTTTTAGATGCTTTATCCTGTTCATCGAGGACTGAGATGGTAACACGAGCTTATGTATTACCACATAGTACATCCTCGACCCCAAGTCCGTCGTCTACATCGGTTGCATTGGCAAGGACCAGTACGGCGAGACTCTTGAGAAGATTTCCAGCGATGCGGGAGTTAAGACCGAATATCTCTACGACGAGAAGACCCCCACTGGTCGCTGTGGTGTCGTCATTACTGGTCACAACCGCTCGTTGTGCACCGATCTTGCCGCTGCCAACAACTACAAGGTTGAGCACTTGAAGGAAGAGCGCATCTGGAAGCAGGTCGAGAACGCACAGTTCTACTACGTCGGTGGCTTCCACTTGACTGTCTGCGTACCGGCCATCAAGGCGCTTGCTGAGGAGGCTGCTGCTAAGAACAAGGTATTTCTTCGCACTAGATGTCGTCAGCCTATACTAACACCATGTAGACCTTCATCCTCAACCTGTCCGCCCCATTCATCTCGCAATTCTTCAAGGATCCTCTTGATGAGGTCTTGCCCTACGTTGATATCTTGATTGGCAACGAGACTGAAGCTGCCGCATTCGCCGAGTCGCACAACATTGATTCCAAGGATGTAACGGAAATTGCGAAGGAGATCGCTAAGTTACCTAAGAAGAACTCCAAGAAGCCAAGGACCGTTGTTTTCACACAGGGCACCGACCCCACGATTGCCGTTACTGCCAAGGAGGGTGGTGATGTCAATGTCAAGGAGGTACCAGTGCATGCTATTGGAGATGACCAGATCAACGACACCAATGGTGCTGGTGATGCTTTTGCCGGAGGTTTTGTCGCTGGTATTGTCCAGGGCAAACCTCTCGAGAAGGCAATTGACATGGGACAGTGGCTCGCGAAGTTGAGCATCCAGGAGTTGGGACCTTCGTATCCTTCACCTAAGCAGACTTACACTTCCAGCTAAGCGCCGCAATGTGTGAGCGCTGATGCTCGTGTATTTCAACAATCTACGAGAGAAAGAGTCGCGGAGAAGGCGGCTTACATTAGACCGAATAGCTTACAGCTAGCGGCCACCCAGAGCATTGCATGGTGTTTTGGTGTCGAGCAAAGCAGGGACTTGGCCTCTCAACAGCCATCATATAGATACCCTCAGCCACATTTGCTTTGAAGCAGCAAAAATGAAGACGTGAATGCATAAACAAAGACTTCCGTTGCGAGTGTCTGCGAAGTATATTGACTATTATATGCTTCAATCTCCCCTTGCGTAACCACTGCAATATCCTACCACCCACCCATGGTCATGCACGTATCACGTAGACTTTTAGGAATATTGATAACTTCGTATAATGCACATATGCATAAAATAAAACTACATGCGTCCTAGGTATAGTGCTAACACAAAAGTAAACCCAATTAATGGGCAAAAAGAAGTGTCTTTGCCAACTGCCCGAATCGAACGAGCGATCTTCGCATTTCTAGACGTGTACAAGTGCGACGCCTGAAGATATCGTTAGGAGTGTTTTCAAGAATGTATGTTCAGAGTGGTTAAAACGTACGTTACCACTGCGCCAAGCTGGCTCGATCTGAATCTTGATTATGGAAATTTCGCCACTAGGTTATAATATATAGTCAGTATTCATGAAGAGACGAAAGGCCACTATGAGTGAGTCATTTTTGGTGGTGCTAACAAAGTGTTGTGTGGGGCGGAAGCGAGCAAGGTGGGGTAAATGAGGGGCTAGACTAGCGAAGACCTGTACATTTTCTTCCATTCGGGCCTGCGTTCTCTGCGGCTGTCCGCCTCACAATTAGTCCCATCAAATTTACGAGGCTGATTTTACATAAACGGCACTTCTCGAACGTATGATACGTTTGCACCATATATCAACATGGTTGCACACACTCTTGTTGAAGCAGCGCAACTTAGTCCCTCCTGTTTTGCCTGTTGAACCGCTAAAGAGTGGTTATCGACCTGGAGCCGGTACTTCCCGCTCTATCGTACTGGCTCGTACATGTCTGTCGAAGTCTATTATGCTTCCATATCATCCATCTTTCCCTTTCTGTGTCGAAAACGCGAGCCCGCCTCTTCTGCCAAATGTCACAACCCGCTCTCGGGCCTAAGCGATGGCTTAAGTCTACTATACATGCAGTGCAGAGAAGCTCAGCTTGTCCTTCTAGCATATATTCTCTGTCTAGCTGGTGCTCTGCAGCTAAATTAGCATGCGCAACAAGTGCAGAGCATCTTGTTTCACTCTCGAATCAACGTATCAGAAACTTCGGTCGACAATTGCCTATAAACTACTGTCTAAGTGAAAGACTGGTGCGTTGCTAGCTATACCATCGCGGCATGAGTTTCAAAGGCCAGACCCGCCCTTGTGGATAAAATTGAGGTAGAAGCCACACAGGCATCTTCATCGGCACCGAATCGCATCGCATTGTCTTGGTGAGTACCCTGAAGTCGTCTTCATCTGTCCTAATCTACCTGGGCGCAAACTATCACTTGGTTTAGCGCACACCGCAACATACGCAACCATGCCACGATTGTTCTTTTCAATTGAGCCACATGTTTAGCGAGGACCCAGAACATCCTCCTCTTACGCGTCCAAAGCAGAAGATTCATGTCACAATGACACGCGTCTGCATATAGCAATCCTAGGTACGTTCTGTCACATTAGCCGAATATCACACGGGCAATCAGCCCCGCCGAAACCAAGGCTGGTGGTGGAAGGTCATCAGGTCTGGTCCCCCGCTTGACATTGTCGGCGCTATGAACGAGAGGTTGCGCAGTTTCGAAGCCCCTGCCGACTCACGGGCGTTGCTCCGACTCATTGGGGAGCTTGGAACCTGATCTGGGATAGTTCATGGCCGAAAAGGGAAGCGAGCGTTGGTCAGGTCGGGACGGGCCAGGTCTTAGCGTGCAGCTGAAGCAGGGGACACGACGGCACAATTGACTGAAGCTGTGCAGGCGCCGCCTCATCACCAAACTGCTCGGAAATTCCGTAGGTGACACCTCAATAAATATGGCCCTCTTGAGTCGCCTACAACGGAAGCACGCCAAGTGTTTGGAAGAAAATTGGCTAGAGTACAACTCCAGCATGTTGAGAGAGGAGCATTGCTGCGACACACTGTACGCCTGGCAAATTAGGCCATTGACTCTGTCAATTGAGTTTGCCAGGATCCATTTGCGTATCACCCAAGGAACCTTGGACCCCTCTATGTTGGATCATAGGAACGATCGTTCGAGTGGCTAGCTGAGTGGTATTGTTGACTAGCTGTGGAACTCATAGAGAAGTGGCTAGCTGCTGCTGGACCGGCCTTAGCGTGACATACAGGTCTAGATGGTGGATACCAGATGTACAAGTCGTAGCGAATACGGTTAAAGTTTCTAAGATTTGCGGCAAGTCCAATTGGCCACTCGACTGCACGTTTTTGTTCAGCATCAATGTACATGATATCCTAAGAGTGTCAGAAGTTATGAACGAGGTGGAAATGAATCAGAGAGCAAGACTATTAGATAATCCTGATCTCGACCGAGCCCTGCAATGACGATCACTGGCAGTCTACCACGCTTTGACTATGCTCAAAAACATCAAATTGGAACGGATGCACTTAATGGCACGAGAAATGCAGCCAGCTGCATCCACCATCTCAGCAGCGATTAGCACTTCACTCATGCTCATGCTGTGGCAGGCTGAAATCTCCACTCGAAGCCTGCAGCTATAGAGCCATGGCTAGCTAAACACACATCGACCTGGGCTCTCCAGCGTTCTCGAACGCCTTACATCTGCAGGGAGGCGTGTAGCCAGACACTCTCGCTCAGTCTTAGTTATCAGCTCATGTTGTGCCACGCAGGTCTTGTCCTGATGAAAAGGTATAAATTCAGCCCTTTTCCTTGCCCTCAAACTATACTTCACTCTGAACATCAGGATCATCATCACACACAAGCGAATAAACAACGCAAACAAACAATACTTAGCAAGTTAGAGTAGGGAGCCACTTACTTTCTGATCAACCTCCGTTCATTGACAAGCCCGGTAGAAATCTGCAATCATGGTCGGCACCGAATCAGCTTCCGTGCGCGCTGGCAACTGGATGTACCTGTTCTTCAACAGGAATGACACAGCTCACATCGATTACTGGAAGGTCGCAGAAACCTCTCGAGATCCAGTAGGATATCAGATCGACATTGGAGGCAAGACCGACTTGTCTAGCGGCGGCGCCATCACTGCCGTCTACCTCGAGGGCAACGACGAAATCCACGTTTACTACATTGGCAAGCCTGCAGCCGGCAAGAAGAAGCACCTTTTGAGAGAAGTCTGCCTCAAGGGCGCGAAGAAAGACGGTGCACCCGGTCCATGGGAGGATAAGACCCAAGACCTGAACAAGAAAGACTTCGATATTGACCCAGAGTCCATGCTTTGCTCTGCGGTGGACTCAAAGGGTTATCCCCGCATCTTCTTCAACTCAGACGACGCACTCGAACACGTTCAATATGCGGCGTTCAAGGATGTCCCAGGAACCACAGGCAAGGATTGGGACGAGACTCGTTTCACAAAGCTCAGCCAGTAGTTGGATTCAGGTCGGCAATGACAAAGAGTTTGACGTGGTTCCACAGAGCTATGTATATGGAGGACGACTTTGCTGTGATAGTAAAACGCAACCATAGATAACTGGCAATGATAATAATTCAGTCAACTCCCTGGTCCCCATGGAGAGCGCGAGGGTGTGATGTACTGCAAGTGAAGCTCTACTTTGCAAAGATTTTACCTCCCGTGTCCACAGCTAATTCATGATGAGCCTATAATCCATTAACAGTACAGATCAGAGGGCTTGACCAATTTCATGCAATGTCAATAATCGAAACATATATCCATGTTCAACTTCTGCCCATTCCATGTTCAATAGAGATAATCTGCACGTACTGGCATTGCTACTCGTTCATGTTTGGTCCTGGATTGACCACGGACCCTGACTGCGATGACTCCAGACATGAAAGCACGTAGTGGATAACATTTGCCTTAATGAATTCCAAGCCTATCGTTTGTGCAGTATCAAGATGCCATCCTAAACTTCTTGCAAGCCTTTGAAATGGGGAAAAGTCAATGTCTCCATGCCCGAGGGTGAACCTTCCAAAGCATGATGGCGTCGTGTGGCGAGGCCGAGAATTAGCCTTACATTGCCGAACCATGGTGAGCTTCGACCACCCAATGTACATCATCGCCGTTGAGGCCAGGCAACCCACAACTTTATACAGCACCTTCCGCCCACTGTCACCCACTGTCCTTTCCGAGCTCTTCACTGTGATATTCAAGCACAACTGACTGAATCCCAAGCTTGAAACCCAACAGAATTTGGCAAAATGGCGGACGCCGGCGTAGACATAGCCGCGCTCACCGAAGACCAGCAGCTCGCCCTTCAAACATTCACAGCCGTTACCGACCAAGAAGTCGACAAAGCGATTCCCCTCCTGCAAAGATGCCAATGGAATGCGCAAATAGCAATAACGCGCTTCTTCGATGGCGAACCGACCGAAGACCCCGTCGCGGCTGCGGCTGCGGAATCCGCACCACAAGACATTCGCAGGCAGGAGACGCTGCTGAATGGCTTCACATCTCCACGATCCTCAACAAGTAGTACGAGAAGAATTCGGATAGAACCCGCGCCGAGGGTGGTTCCGCAGCCGGAGAGCCAGGTCAGCACACAGGTTCCGCTGGTACTTGCTGTACTGTTCGCGCCTTTGTCTCTCGTATACTCTTTGGTGGGAAAATGGTTCAGATTCATGGGGTGGCTATTCCCATTTCTACCTCGGGCGTGGGGTCGTGTAACGGCGAGCAATATCAATACACCTACATCGACAAGATCGGCCAGTGGACGACGGCCGTTGAACCCGCGGGACACAGCAGCGAGGTTCATACGTGAATTTGAGGAGGAGTACGGGAGTCAGGGTCAGGGCTTACCTTTCTTTGAGAGCGGGTATGCCCAAGCGTTTGATTTGGCAAAGAAGAATCTCCAGTTCTTGCTCGTGGTCTTGATAAGTCCTGAGCATGACGAAACCACCTCCTTTATAAGAGACACCTTACTCTCTCCTGAAGTCGTCGAGTTCGTACGCAATCCTTCCAACAACATAATTCTCTGGGCCGGCAACGTTCAAGATTCAGAAGCATACCAAGTTTCCTCGGCGTTGAGCTGCACGAAATTCCCCTTTACCGGCCTCATCGTACATACTCCACAAGTCTCCTCCACCGCTATGGGCATCGCTACGCGGATCGCCGGCCCCACACCTCCTCAACAATACATATCAAAGCTGAGAACGGCGATGCAACAACATAGTGCGGCATTGGATCGAGTCCGCAACCAGCGCGCAGAACAACAAACTTCACGGAGTATAAGACAGCAGCAAGATAGCGCATACGAGCGCTCTCTCGCCACAGACCGCGAGCGTGCACGGAAAAAGAAAGAGGAGGCTGAGCTCAAAGCTCGAGAAGAAAAAGAAGCACTCGAACGCGAACAAGCTATTGAGAGATACGCACAGGACCTAGCCCAGTGGCGGAAATGGCGCGCTTCCTCGATACCATCTGAGC